TTGCTGCCGTGGCGCTCACTGCCGGGCATGCCTGCTGAGCCCTTTGTTGCCCTGTCCTCCCATCGTCCCCGGAAGGTGCAGGCTCAGCACGCACAATCAAGCTTCATTTGTGTAACGGAGGTCCTAGGACGAGAGGCCTGTGTGCTTATTTCATTGCCTTTTGACTTCCCACCATTTTCTCTCGGTTTCACAAAGAGGCGGCGGCGATGGAGCGGCGTGGCCGTTGAAGCAATCGACCGTCCCCGGGCCCCGCTAACGCGGGTGGTCACTCGCCATCCGAGAGGGGGTTTTTTTGCTGAGGCTCGCGGGGAAGTCAAGGGTATTTGCAGGTCCCGCCCTCGCGGTGCCCCTGCTCTGGTTCACGGTGCGAGCGGAAATGGCCTAAGTCCAGGTGCCGGCCCGGGAAGCCACGCGGGCCCCGCCGACTCAGCCCTGGACCGGTCGTGCGGAGGCGTGAGGCCGGCCGACTATGACTCCACGTTGACTCATCCTCCTGAGCGGGGCCTGAGTCACTCCGCGCCGCGGCTCTTTCAGGCTGCACCGCCGCGGGGAGCACCCTGACCTCACCAGGGCGCGCAGCGATGATGGCAAACTGGCTTTGAGAACGCACCAGACTCCAGAAAGGCTCCATAATTAGCAGCTTCGCTCCTTCCAAGGACCAGCTCCTTCCTGCTGTTGTGTTTTTTTTAACAATGCTTTAAAGTTTTCTTTTGTTTGCTGTGTTTGCTGATCATATAAGCCAGTGCAATTTTAATGTTTCAAGACAGTTTTTTTCCCTTGGGGAGGGGGCTGGGTGGAAGTGGACGAAGGTATAGGGGGGATAAATGGTGACAGAAAAAATGAAATAAATTTTAAAAGACAATTTTGTTTTCTTTATCACTATAGCTACCCTCAGTAGAAGCTTTAATCTTCAGGAAAATGTTGTTATGTTTACAACGATCACTGGCAATTAGTAATTTATCCCCAGGCTAGCATCCTATATTTCCTTCAAGACGGTGTTCTTCCGCACAGTCTGATTATTTATACAAGTAGAAAAAGAGAAACCTCGTAGAGCACTACTATGGTGTTCTAATGAGAGAGACATATTATTGATATTTCCCATGCTTCTTAGGAATGTTAACGCCAAACATCAGTATACGCAGGCTGCCTGTGCCTGCCTGCCTGCCTGTAGTGTCACTGATGTCCAGAGCTGTGTCATACCTATTATTGAATACATAATGGTTGCTTGAGTTGACTAACTCATAATTGAGGCTGCATAACAACTCAAAACCATTGCCTGTTCATGTTTTGATTTACCTGGATTGTCCGATGTGATTCCTGAGAGCTTTTATCTGGTCTGCTTAGCTCTAGTAGGTGTGAAGTAGATGGAATTCTAAAAAATTAACCAATAAATGGACTTCAACTTACTGAGACCATCTGTTAACTAATAACTACTAACTATTATAGTTACTTAAACTATCCAAAGTAATTATAATTGATCTCAGTGGTATTTTCTGTTAGTTAAAAGTAGAATCTGGTTATCTTCTTGGGGGAGATACCATACATTTACCATCTTCACGATGCTGCTAGGTAACAGAGCAAAGAATTAAGGAGATTTCAGTACCTACATAGGCCTGAAAACCAATTATTTTCTTAACTATTTTTTTAATGATAACCTCCAATTTATTAACTTTCCTCTTGATAAAAAACTCCCCATTTTGTCAATCATCCTCATACTTTTCCAATACTTACATATGCTTCTAGTCTTTATAACTTAATTTCTCTGCTTTTTGTGTTCAATTTGTTACATATGTTTTATGGCACATTCATGTGTCTGCCTAATATCACCATTAGATTCTACCATGTCAAAGATTTGTGATTAAAGCCCTGGCCAGTGGTGCTGAGTTGGTTGGAGCCTCGTCCCAAACAACAAAAGGTGGTGGGTTTGATTCCTAGATTTCTGGTTCAGTCCTAAGAGGCAACTGATCGATGTTTCTCTCTCCCTCCCTCACCCTTTCTCTCTCTAAAACCAATAAAAAAATAATTTTTAAAGATTTGTGATTAGGTTTTTATCTATGTGTATATGCGGTTGTTTTGGTTTTGCCAATCTAAAATATACACAGCAGAAATTTTATACTTTTTTCCTCTATTATTCCACAAAAAATTACATTTATTACCTTACTGCCATCTTTGTGCTTAAAGAAGAGAGTAATAGGAAGATATATGAAATAGAATATGGTACTAAAATACTATTCTACTTGATAACATCTAGTTTAATACATAGCTAGTTATAGCTCAGCACTATATCATGGTAACTATTATTTATAAGCCTGGAATAATTGGTTATCATTTAGCATCTGTAAATAGTCATGACCTTTTCTCTACATAATATAATCAAGCTGGTATATTATTAGTCTTTATAGATTTTACTTACTGTAAGAGACTAAATAATTTGGTATAACAGAAGTTGTTCTTAATCATGTATGTACCTCTGTCATTGGAGTTTTATTTATGTTCTCTAGATAACCAAAGTCATTGTTTTCTGGGCATTGTTCAACTATGTCATGTTGATTATATCTGTTGTGATCAATCCCTCACTGTCTACACTGTCTACAGTTTGGGGGAAAAAAACAGTCCTCAAAATTTTAAACGTTCTGTTTAGATGCCTTTCTTTGTCTCTAATCAATAATAAGCAGTCTTTTTTCTTTATGTGAATAGATTTTTGAAACAGAAGATATGAAAATAATAAATGATCCTTAATACTGAAATGTTGGGTATTAACTTTAGATATAATGTAAAGCAACCTCTAATTAACATTAATATTGGTGTGATTGTTTTTAACCTTGTTCACTCTTTTTAAACTTGGTTATTCTTATACTTTATGCTCTGTTTTTGTTGTTATTGTCACTTCTATAGTGACATTTCTCTAGGAAAGACCTAAGATGATGGCTTCTAACAGGATCATTTTAAATTATAATTGTGTAATTTGGTCCCAAAGAACATGGGCTCTGATGTCAAACGATCTTGGTTATAATCCCAGCTGTACCACTTACCATTTGACCAGAGGCAGTCTCTTTACACCCCATTTTTGTTATGAATTAGATGGGACATTAACAGTAGTTATCTTGTAGGTAAGTGTGAGAAAGAAATGAGCTAATCCATGTAACATGCTTACAATAGTTCTTATAGTAAGCACTCAGTGTTAACTATAATTCTCATTATGTAGTATTATGACATAAATTTCTTATACTTTTTAGTATAGCATAATATGCTTAAAAATTCTTTTAAGCGTAGAACCAACCCCCGCCCATTATCTTTAAGGTACTCCAAGCTTTCAAAGTAAACTAACGTTTATTGATTTCCTATAACATACCAACTATTTTTCTTTTTAAAATTTTATTTAATATTTTCTAAAATATGATTTTATTGATTTGAGAGAGAGAGAGAGAAGTGTCAATGCATTGCCTACTGCACAAGCCCTAACCAAGGATCAAACCCGCAACCTGGGCATATGCCCTGACTGGGAATCAAACCGGCAACCTTTTGTTGCACTGTACAAAGTTCAACCAACTGAGCCATACCAACCAGGGCTCCAAATATTTTTCATATTGATTGCTTCATTTGACCTTGATAACAATTATGTGAATTAAACATTATCATCCCCATTTTATTTTATTTTTTATATTATTTTATTGATTTCAGAGAGGAAAGGAGAGAGATAGAAACATAATGATGAAAGAGAATCATTGATTGGCTGCCTCCTGCACGTCTCCTACTTGGGGGGATCAAGCCCACAATCTGGGCATGTGCCCTCGGCTGGAATAGAACCTGGGACCCGTTAGTCTGCAGGCCAACACTCTACCCACTGAGCCAAACCAGCTAGGGTTATCATCCCCATTTTATAAAGAAACAGACTCGCTAAAGTTAGGGGATGCATGAAAGTCCACGCAGCCAGTGGTAAGCTGGAATCCAAAACCAGTTCTCTTGACTCCAAGATTCTTGACTGCATACCATAGCTGCTTTCCTCTGGTAGGTTCTTCCAAATGCCTTTCTCTTCAAAGGACTTCTAGTACCAGGTTCATTTACAGAACTGACGGACCATTCAAGAAGTACTAAGTTAGTAATGGGAAATGTGTCATTGCTGGAGGCTATTTAAAGGACATGGGAAGCCCAGGCTCTTCCTTCCTAGACTCTAAGAGCTGCTTGGCACCCTAAGTCATAGAAATATAAATAGCTCAGTACCCCCACAAACGCCTGTGACTAAGAACCTAAAGGATGCAGCTAACAAGCACTCACTCACCTAATGAATGAGCCAGTCACATAGTTCTTCCCTCCTTTCATTTTGCTCTCTGTTCCAATGCCATCTCCTGAGGGAAACCTTCCTTGACCACCCTATCTAAATTAGCATGCCCATTACTCTTTATCCCTTTATTTTTCTTCAGGCCACTTCATAACCCTAGCTCTAAACCCAACATTATTTAATTAATTGTCTGTGTCTCCACTAGTAAAATAGTACCTTCTTGATGATTTGTAGGTAGAATGCTAACAAATATTTGGGGAAAATCAAAATCTAATTTTAAAAGCTGCACAAAAGTCTGGCCTCAAGACTAATAATGTAAGTAATAGGAGAATTACTACATGCAAGCCACCATGTTAATCCGTTCACATGGATTGATAATACCTCATTTTTTCTTCAACATTTTGAGATAGCCCTAGCCAGTTTGGCTCAGTGCGTCAGCCTGCAGATCCACGAGTTCTG